GTCATAGACATATAGTCATTTGATTCCATCGAAGAAAACTATGGACACAAGTTGAGAATAATCTAACTACATTAACAGAATAAGGTTTAGGGTTTAAAATTCTAATGTAATGACAAGTTCCTGAAGAAGGCTGAAGAATACACTAACTAAAACATTATGCCTATAACAAGCAAGATAAGAATTTAAATACAAGTAGATTTAAAAAATTCAAACAGATATTCAAATATTGAGAGGAATGCTTAAAAATTCTCTGTCAAACCCACTTCCCAAAATTCGACCAAATTTTAGAATACATTCTTGGCTAAGGTAATAACTTTTCAGCACCCTCCAACATAAGAAATTCTCCAAAGTGTTGTTCATTTGTTATATATTGATTACACTACTTTCTTTTTCAATTACCAAGATAATTTGTCTTGAAAGTTGCCTGATGGGCACATATTTTTAAAAGTTAATTCTGTTTGAGTCAGTTTACAACAATCACTATTTCTAAGTGAATTGAAAGGAGTTTTAGCAAACATTTCATATATTTGAAATAGAGGAAATTTCAAGACCAATTAAAAAAGGGTTTACGAGTGATTGATGGCCAGTCAAGTGTGTGTGTGTGTATATATATATATATATATATATATATATATATATATTCGTTCTTTAGGTTTGATCAAGGGATTGTGAGTAACTTTTTCTATTTTACACTCTTTTGGAACTTCTCAATTTTTTAGTCATTAATTGATTTACAATGAAAATTTATTTTAATCACATCCCAACTTTCCATCCTCATTTGTTATTTATTATTAATGCGTCTTTGATTCTGTTTCTTCTTTTGCTTTGCCAACAAATAGCTTCTGAAAAAGCATTGGCCGAAAGGGTCCTAAAGGATAAATAATGATGTCCATTTTGTTTAAATATATTATCCTAATAATAATTATTATAATTTGCTCTGTATCATATATTGAGCTCTCATATGGACAAAAGTTCTCTCTGGAATAATACCTTCCAATTTGGTATTATATATATATATATATATATACTCCTTTAAAGAAAGAGTGAAAATAAAAACTTCTGGCTTTACTGTATAACACTTGATATGAAATTTCATGTAGAAAGAAATATTTGTTTATACTTATTTTAAATTGATATTTTAGAAGAATAATGTACAAATGATGAATGCAGCTTCAGTTTAAACAGATATACTGTCTCTGCCCTATAAGAGTTGTTACATTTAGTATATGAATTATATAGATGAAAATACAGGGTGCTGAAGAAATATCTCCCAGAAATACATTCCACATAATGGTAAGACATTTGCTAGATAAAGACACCACTACCACTTGTTTAGCACATGTGATAATTCAAATTGTGGAAGGTATTTCTATTAAACTTACTATTATGTGGGAGTTACTTCTACTGTATATCTTTGATGGGTCAGATGTTGAAAAATATTGATTTGTGGTCTCTGTCACTGACTGAAATTACCATTTAAGTTTTTTTCACAACAAATTTCAGAAAATAAACCAATTATCACACTTTTCAAATGGCTTTCATTGTAATGTAGCTTTTATTTAATTTAGCCAATCTCTCACTCATAAACCAAATTGGTACTTTCTTCTCTGCTATATAGTTTTTGTAATTTTATCATTATGACCTAGACAGATTCAGTTACTTTATTGTTCTTATAAAAGAAACAACACTATTGACTACCAAGGACAGCATGGCAATTATTAAAAGGAATTAGCCTATTAACTTCTAACAACAATATGGCGATTGTTAAAAGGAACAACCCTATTAACTGCCAACAAAATTATGGTGATTCTTAAAAGGAACAACCCTATTAATTGACAACAACAACATGGTGATTATTAAAATGAACAACACTATTAAATGTCAAAAACAATATGGCGATTCTTTAAAGGAACAATCCTATTAAATGTCAAAAACAATATGGTGATTCTTAAAAGGAACAACCCTATTAATTGGCAACAACAATATGGCAATTCTTAAAAGGGACAACCCTATTAAATGTCAAGAACAATATGGTGATTATTAAAAGGAACAACACTATTAACTGGCGACAACAATATGGTGATTATTAAAAGATCTATGGACAATTTATTAGTAAAAGAATAATAGTGCCTCCCTTTGAATTTTCTATAAATACTTCCATCATAATTTTTCAAATGACCTCTTTGTTATAGTACCTAGACTCTTTAAATTTAAGCCTGGTGATGAAGTCTCAGTAATTTGCAGTTGGCTAGATCTAACCATAAGTTCTACTCTAACAGTTTCTTTTCTCACATTTCTCACTTGTGGAACACATTTCTGATTCCATGCTTTCTGGCCAACTTTATTATGCAAAAATTTAAATGTGATATCAATTGCTATCTTCTTTTGTTCTTGCTCCTAAGCAATGTTTCTGTTTCTAATTCTCCCACACCATGTATCCCCTTTTACCTCAGTAGCTTTACTGCTATGCATGGGGTCAACTTAATTAAAAAAAATTGTGTAATTTCTCTTTTCAACAGTGAGATAAGATGAATATACCACTTAGCCATTTACTTTATTTTCAGGAAATCAGAAACACAAATAATGAAAAACGTTTTAAAAAAATTCAAAAGAATAAAATGCATGAACATTACTTGTTAGATTATTGCAAAAATATATTTATTAAATAAGACAAAAGGCCTGTTTTCCTTAGTTCTTTGTTCAATTCTGATTTTGAGATTGACCGTTTCCATACAGAAAACCTCAGCATTCATTAACTGAACAGTTAATTCTACTGTCAGCTAAAATTTATAAAAACTTTCTCTTTCAACAGTTTTCAGGACTATAGACTTCTCAAGTCGACTATTTACGCTCTTTCTAGTATTGATGAAAGTTTCCTTCCTAACCTTTTGCTTAAGGAGATATGGAAAGTATATTTCTTGATCATTATTTTCCTTCTATTTATATGTGCTACCCACTTTTTTTGTTGTTGCTAGAATTTTTCAAGTGATGCGATTTTTTGTTATTTGGTAAAGCTCTTTGCAATTTTGTAGCACCATTCTAGACAGCCTGATGAAGGATTATTGTCATTAAGACCAAATGTTTATTTAACATATTATATCAGGGACAGAATTTACTTCTTAAATTTAATACAATCTAATGATTTCATATATGCAGTAAATTTTTGGAATAAAAATATGAATTAATTAGGCACTAACTGCATTTAAACTCAGATATGAATACAAGGTGTTGGTTTATTGCAACCCACAGAATTTACTTCTATTCTACAATTCTTTCAAATACCTTTAATTATTTTCTGCAATAGAGAATTTTAATGGGAAGGAAGTAGAAATCTTGATGATTAAATTTTTAATCCTACAATTTTTACCTAAAATTTATAAGAGCTTGTTCCAACAAGCAGTTTTTATGTTTTGAATCAAAAATCAGGAATTAATGCAGCTGTTACTGACTGGATAAAGTGATGATATATATAATATTAATGCATTGTAAATAAGATAAAATGAAATAATATGGGAACATGGCCGATTAGTTAGAACATTCGCTTTCAGAACATGAGATGTGGGTTCAAATCTCACCATGAACAAATATCACTTTATTTTTTGGGAAGGAGACCTTGATATTATCAACCAGGGATGGTGATCCCCTTATGTGGTACCTTTGAAAAAAGTGCCTGAAAACCATACCACTGGTTGGCCCAAATATTGTAAGTGAAATTGCATCGACAGAACTAACAGAGAGGTGTTGATGGTTGTGCTAGCATTTAGTAACAAGTCATTGTGACTGAGGGTTTGAGTGTACTGGCCTTGTTCAGACTGTTGATCACACCAGATTATACACTCTCTCCCAGAAACTCTAACTAAGGTCCACTCAACATTGTCACAGTATAAACCACAGGTGGGCTCTATACTTGACATGGTGTATAATGATAACAACTTGTTTTCACTTCAGCTTACATATACTATCCATTTTAGCTGTTGCTACTGTTGAGGGTTATGATATGCATAATTTAAATGCACTGTAAATAAGTTTACTAAAGAAATGCATTAAAAATCAAGAAGCAGGGGATTGTCAGTGGTCAGGAAGTAATACAGAAGAGAAGAGGGATATTATTAATGTTACAAGTGATGTCAAAATATATACTTCTAAATTTCCAGCATTTCAGCAGTAGAATATGTAAACTGACCAAAAACAAACTTTATGGCAAGAATTTAAAATAACATTTAATTTAGATGGTCAGATTTTGTTTTTTTATTAACACTTTAAAAACAGGAGTTCAAATCACTACTATAAAACTCAACCTATGGTTGAGATCAATTCTGTCTGAATCTTTGATAATAATTTAAAACAACATGATTGATCCTTGCTTTAATTTTCATCATTCAGTGTCACTTTTTTCTAAGAAATTTAAAAGCCAATAGATTCTCTAACAGTAAGATAAAAGATCTTATTATTTACAATATAATTCCATCTAAATATCAGCTCTTCAGACTTATATACAATTTTATTACAAACGTGTGAATTTCCAAGCAAGCTAAGTGGATCGCAGAAGATTACATCCATTAGGATAATTTATTATCATAGCACAGTGTGGGCCAATTCCTGTCAGACATTCAGAGACAAATGGAAGAATCGAAGAAAATTCCATAATTTACTCTGCCCCAGGGCAATTTTATTATCTTACTCTCCTCTTCATCTTCCTCTTAGATCCTGCCCAAATTCAATAATCTCAAACCACAAGAGATGAAGAACCTTCAACAGTATGCCTGGCGACGACAAGACATTGTGTTCAAGTGAACACAACAATTCGACGACATTCTTCATCTATTTTTCTCTTTCCCTGTACAGAAAGGTTCTCGTGCCACCAACCTCAAAGATTCATTCTCCTGGGGATGGGCAACTGCAGTGTTCAAAAGCCAGGAATGGGAAAATTGATGAAAAAGATGAAGATGGGCAAAGAATCCTGTCTGCAATCTATTAGAAGCCCACAATTATTTCACACATCACTCAACGACCTTGCCCAAATCAGCCGCAATGGAAGTCATGAATCCCTGCATGGGTTCTGCTTCTCCCCAATCTTTACATTTTTTTTTTTTTGGACTGGTGAAGCTTGTTTTGGGAATGAGAGTCTTGAAGGATAATGCATGGGTAGAGTTAAACTGAGTAAAAATCTGAGATGAGAAATGGCTTAAAGAAAACTCTAAGACAAAATGGGGAAAATAAATGTAGGTGTATATAAGTGTGAAAAGTAGAAAAGGAAATAAAGAGAGGGAAGTGAAAAAAAAAGATATCACGAAAAGAAAAATAGTGATTAAAGTGTGGGAGGTGGAGAAAGTAGGAAGCCAAAGAGAGAAAAATAAAAGAGAAGAGGGAGGGGTGCTGAAATAGATATAATAAAAAGAAAACTGGTAAAAAAGTCGAAGATGTGGAGGAAGTAGAAAGCATAAGGGAGAAAAAAAAAAACAAAGGAAAGAAAGAATGCTAACAAAAGTATGAAGAAAAGATAAGAAGAAAGTAAAAGTGTAAGAGAGTGAAATGGGATCAAAAAGAGAGATAGGTCTAAAATGTACAAAGAAAAAAAGCAGAGAGAGATAGAGAAAAGGAATTGCAGAGAGAGAGAGAGAAAGAGAACAACTGCAGAGAAAGAGGAACAGTTGAGAGTGGGAGAGAGTGAGGAAAGGTAGAGAGTGAGGAAAAGTAGAGACTGAGGAAAGGTGAGGAAAGGGAGAGAGTGAGGAAAGGTAGAGAGTGAGGAAAGGTAGAGAGTGAGGAAAGGTAGAGAGTGGGGAAAGGTAGAGAGTGAGGAAAGGTAGAGAGTGAGGAAAGGTAGAGAGTGGGAGAGAGAGAGAAAGGAAACGCAGAGAGAGAGAGAGAGAGAGAGAAAGGAAACGCAGAGAGAGAGAGAGAGAGAAAGGAAATGCAGAGAGAGAGAGAGAGAAAGGAAATGCAGAGAGAGAGAGAGAGAAAGGAAATGCAGAGAGAGAGAGAGAGAAAGGAAATGCAGAGAGAGAGAGAGAGAGAAAGGAAACGCAGAGAGAGAGAGAGAGAGAAAGGAAACGCAGAGAGAGAGAGAAAGGAAACGCAGAGAGAGAGAAAGGAAACGCAGAGAGAGAGAGAGGGATGTAGAGAGAGAGAGAGAGAAAGGAAACGCAGAGAGAGAGAGAGAGACAGGAAACGCAGAGAGAGAGAGAGAGAAAGGAAACGCAGAGAGAGAGAGAGAGAAAGGAAACGCAGAGAGAGAGAGAGAGAAAGGAAACGCAGAGAGAGAGAGAGAGAAAGGAAACGCAGAGAGAGAGAGAAAGGAAACGCAGAGAGAGAGAGAAAGGAAACGGAGAGAGAGAGAGAAAGGAAACGCAGAGAGAGAGAAAGAAAACGCAGAGAGTGAGAGAGAGAGAGAGAGAGAAAGAAAATGCAGAGAGTGAGAGAGAGGAGCTGCAGAGAGCAATAGAGAGAGGAACAGTAGAGGGTGAGTGAGTGAGGAATGGCAGAGAGTGAGTGAGTGAGAGAGATGAATGGCAGAGAGAGTGAGTGAGCGAGAGAGAGGAACGGCAGAGAGAATGAATCAATGAGAGAGAGAGGAATGGAAGAGAGTGAGTGAGAGGAATAGCAGAGAGAGTTAGTGAGAGAAAAAAGAATGGAAGAAACATTGTTGATAAAGGAATAGATGAGAAAAAGAGGTAGAAGTAATATATGTGTGTGAGAAAGAGAGTAGATAAAGAAAGGGACAGAAAAGTAAATACAGAAATAAAGATGGAGCTGAAAGTGATATTGCTCGAAAAGTTTACATGTTTATAAATGGAAATGAGAATAAGAAAAAAAAGAAAATAAATGAAAGTGTAACAATGAAAAAGACAGAAAAAAAGAAAAGAATTATGAAAAAAAACAGGAAGTGATTGAAAAAATGTTTTTCACTGGATGAAAAAAGAGAATTAGAAAGATACAAAAATTTTTAAAAAAATAAAAAGAAAAAAGAGAAGTGAAAAAAATGTCAGAAAAAATGCAATAGAGAAAGAAAAGGACAGAAATTAAGAAAATGGAGAAAAAGTAGAGAAAGAAAGATTAAAGATTGGAGAAGAAAATGAAAGTAAAAAAATAAAGCAAAGAAAAAGAAAAGATTTTGAGAAAAAGGAAAAAAAAAAGAGAAAACGAAATATAAGAAAAAAGGTAAATATAAATGATAAAATGTAAAAAAAAAAAAAAACATTTGAGGAAAAAGAGACAGAAAAAAAAGTTAGGCAAAAAAAAAAAAATGAAAAGAGAAACTGTTTTTTAAAACAAGAATGAGAAGGAAAATCTAATTTTCCTTCTTTGGGAGTAGCAGAACTCTTGAAGAGATTCTATGCATTCCCTACTGAACTCTTGACTATTTCCACCTTTATGGAGGGTCAGTCAGTTCCCATGTTTAGCTTCTCCAAAATGGCATCAGTATTCAAAGTCAGACCGCATAAGCAATCAACACGGTAGGTTCTGTAGGGACAAGCAAATACCAAGAAACTAGAATCACAGAGCAGAACATAGAGAAAACAATAGAAATACACAAGAGTGCCACCAGAGATTGACCAACTTGTAAACGAATTTTTTCTCTGCTGGAATCACTAATAAGCCATTCAGTTTTGTTGCCACTCCAAAATCCAACACCCCTGAAGGAATCTTGTACTTTACATCATGTGAGAATTAGTATTGCCTCAATTGTCAAGATATCTTTAGATTTGTTGCTCTTTACTTGCAAGTAAAGAAGAATCATAAAAAAAAATATTTGTCTGATAGGAAATAAGAAGCAGCAGTCATGTATAATCATAAAAATATGTAAAAGAAAACATATGAAAACATGGAAATGAGTCTTAGTGTTAGCTATGTGCAAAAGATACCAGCATCTTTCTTGAAAATTAGTGTCTGAAAACTCAAAAGAAAACATTTAAAAGAAAAAAAAAAAAAGAAAAAAAAAGGGAATTGTGGACATTTTTTTAACCTTTAGCACTCTGCAATATTCATAAATATTTCATCCACTGGATATAAGTAGCCAGATAACTGCAGTAGCATCATCATCTATTTTCAATTAGTCATTTTCCTGTTGCCATAGTAGGATATGACAACACTAGGGCAAAATTCAAAATTTTCTGATGATCAGAGTTGAATGCAGTAGCTGTACAAACATTTTGTTTGACAAATGAAGTCACCTACAGAGTGCTAAAGGTTTAATAAACCCATTCTATTTATTGAAAGATTCAGACATAAACAACCAGTATCAAGAAGGGAAGGACAAACTCTGAATCCAAAACTATCCTAAGAGGGATAGTCTCAGAGTATCATGTGCTAGTCACACCTGACTTTTGCAAAGTCAGGTGTGACTTTTGCAAAGGCTCAGAACTATTTATGTACCCCTTCAAATGTTGAACTAAATATAATATCAAGATCATAACAAAGATGAAAACAGGCAGATTGTATGACATGAACTAAAATAAAACATCTGGTATAAAGAATTTTCTGTTGATTGTTTTACTAATTTGTTTTTTTTAATCATTTTTTTTCTAATTCATTCCTATGGTGCAATTAAGATATTTTGTCTCAGAATATGGAAATCTATTAAAGTGAGAGAATTACTATAAATCAATGTTTTTTCAGATGTATGGGCTATGATGGAACAATGCCTGACCCATTCAGTTAACCCACCTATAATACCTGCTATACTGCATCAACAGGTGCTATATTTACAGAATTATGTATTGCATAGTGCTATTTGCCATTGGTATTATCATAATTATGTAATAGTAGAGGCCTATACTGGCATTCAAGAAAGCTATACAGTGTATTTATATGAGATCTTAGTACTCTTGATAATATACCCCCTTCCATTAAAAATCACTTTCCAAGCTCTAATAGAATTTCTAGAACTGATAGAGGAATTCTATTGGTTCACAATATTATACATATCTAGTGAGAACCACAAAACAGAAACATTTCAAACCCCATCTGTTGTTTGACAAGGAAAAAATGAGAGACTATGGTCTGCGCATATACAAGCACAGATTGGAAGAGATAGACACTACTCATTTAAGCATTCCATACCCCATCCTAAATGTACCTACTAATAAAAAAAGAAAGTGTTCTTGCTTCCTCTTCCAAGGACAGTGATTAAGGAGGCTGATGATTTCCATTTTTGTTATATCATACCTATGGACTATAATGTGTATGTACTAATCCTTATAAATACAGTGGAATATACAGTATGTTGGATTCACTGTGGCATTTCACTTGTGTTTCACCTTGATTCCCTTCTAGCTCACCACTAGCAGTTGATTACTTACTACACGCTGCTGGCAAATCTTTTATGTTGTTTCTGTTATAAATATTATCGTTCCATTTCCAGACTTCATTTTGGTTGTTCTTAGTCAATAACATTTTCCTAGGTTACAACAGACCTATAAAACGGTAAGCCAAAAAAAAAAAAAAATGTCAGTCAATCAATTAATGGCTTAGAATTGGAAATTGGACATCCAAGTTCTAGTTCCAGTGAGCTTTGTTATATTCACTTATGATCAAATACCTTTGGGAAAGGTATGAAACCACTTTGTCTCCCTCTAGCTGTAGGTTAATTAGTAGAACTTGTATCAGTGAATCATTATTATCTCCCAAATATTTTCTAGCTTTAAATAACCTTGTTATACCGTACCCATGGACTATGTATGTCACAATTCATATAAATACAGTCGAATATATAGGTTATAACATTTTATTTGTTCAAGGGTTGGTAACTATGGACTATGAAGGGTATGTCTCAATCCATATAAATAATGTAGAATATACTGTATGTGATAGTCATTTGGATTCACTTGTGTTTCACATTGATTCATTTCTAGCTCACCACTAGCATTTGATTACTTACTACATGTTGCTGGCAAATCTTTTATGTTGTTTCTGTTATAAATATTATCATTCCTTTTCCAACCTTTGTTTTGGTTATTCTTAAATTAGTAACCTTTTCCTAGGTTACAATAATTTTCATAGTTAGGATAATAATAATCTAGAAAAGAAAATCAACATCCTCTATCAAGTATTTCTAGAAATAGGACTCAAGATAAACCTTTCCAAAACAAACTATAATCTGGAATTGGAATGAAAACATTTTAAATACCTCAGTGTATTGATAAGTTATAAATGTCGGTTCCAATTCACAGTGGGAATAACTGCAAAACACTTTCCCCTCCCCAATTTAGAGGTAGCAGCACCCAAATGCATGCTGGGATTTCTTTCTAACCAATGAAATAGGTCAGTTCTCAGTTTCATCTGACTCAGTCCCGGTCTGGATTGTCTTGAAGTCAGAATGCTGTGTTCATTCATCCAAATTTGCTCTTGTGTGTCAATCCCAATTCTTAGTTTGTGAACTTTTTGCCATATTACTGTTGCTTTGTCTTATTACTGAGAATTTGCCTTGCATATATTAGTTGCTTCCTTGATGTTATTTTTTTAGCCAGTTCTTTTCTTTCCACTTTTTCTTGCAAACTTTGTCAATTCTGTTTGTTGGGCAGTTCCGCCATTTATTTGCATTTAACAATGGCCACTCACTCTACAATAACAAATCTAGTTTGGGAGAGAAGAAAACTGAATTTAGGATAGGCTGCACTAGGTGTAGTTTCGTCCAACACCACAAATTGCTATAAAACTAAAACATTCACATAAAAACTTGAGTCATATTTTTAAATTACCGAGTCAGCTCAAAACTTTTATATAGATGCCATGCATGGCACCAAACTCATTCAGAAATATCTAAACTTTCTGCTGTATAAAACTGCTTTCTAAGATCAATGATTAAAAATGGTTTCAAGGGAATGGATCCTGTAGGTTTTATTGAGGACCATCCTTCTGTAAACCTTGTTGACTGGCAATGCAGAATCAAATAACTGTACCAGATAACGGAAACCACATCACTTGACTTTTAACAACAGCAAAAAGAAAAATGGATATCACATGAAACTCTGAGAAAAAATAATTACATGATCAAGATACTGATATTCAACACTACTTCAAACAAGGGGCAAGGAAGGGAGCCCCCATTAAAAGTGGAAATGCATTTTCCTGAAAAATCTTTTTAAATGAACGATTTGACAAATTTTCAGTTAAAAGTAGTACTGGCAGCTTGGTCAATGAATGCTGAATGTTTCCTTATAAGGAAACAGTTAATATTACCATTACCATTATATTGGAACCTGAGCATGTATTGGCTTAAATATATAATCATAGACTCTTCTCTAGCTATATTTTTTTATGTTTAATGATGAGTAGGTTAAAACCTATTTAGGCTGTTGCAATTTTACTTTGCTTTCAGTATATATTTATATATACTGTGGTGATAAAATCTATTTGATTTACCTCCCCTCTTTAGTGTAACTTTTCTACACTTATGACTATAAAAAACATCTATATGCTCGCCATATTGTAGCTCAATAAAACTTCAGTAAGTACCACTCCAACTCTTGTTCATTACACACACACACACACACAATATATATATATATATATGAAAAAATATAGTGTGTGCTATATTTATGGGATAAAGTGCTCAATCTCAGAGATAGAGCATATGTAAATATAAATATAAAAGTGAACATTGAAGTCAACACTGAGAGGCAACAGGCTGTTTCATGCTGGA